ACCTAACCATGGTTAGGGTTAGTTGATTTTGAAAATGGAATAACCAGTTATTTTGCGGTTAACTAACTGTTAAATAACCGGTTATAACCAGCCCTATTATACACCTTCAAAACGCACTTGAGAACGTCGAAAACACTTAAAATTTGACTAAGTTACGGTCAAATCTCTAAAATATCACTCAAATGTGTAGACTTTCAAGGATAATTGCATAAATATGTCAATTCTTCACCGATTTTAGCGTTCTTGGGCTCGTTTTAAAGCTAGAATATGCAGAAATAATATCTATCAAGATACATATGAGCATATTTGCCTTGTTATAACCAATTCTTTATTTTTCGGTCCTAACCGGTTAGTAACTGCAAATAACCGACCGTAACCGGTTAGTTGCAGTCCGGTTAGGTTATTTTAGGTTTCGGGACAAAGGCTAACCGGTCTTGGTCTCGGTTAGAGCCCCTGGGCACCCAATAACTGGACCTAACCGGACTTTCGAACACTATATATGCCCAACCTGAATATGAGCAGTGTTTGGCAGCACCCACCACAGTCAACAACATCAGACAGACATGCAGAGTGACAGAGTTCCTTGTTCTCAATCAAGGTTCAAGCATGTTTACAGGCACTTGTGACTTACTCATGCCTACCACAGGTTGTCAGCAGACTTTATGTCACTGGTTTTTGCAGACCAGACTTTGAGTCAGTCATTCTCTGTGCCATACAACCAGACTATAGTTGGCTGATTAGATCAGAGCTCGATCACTCGCGAACACTATGACTGTGACATTTACTACTACCCGCAGACTATAGGTTGCTAGCTAGTTTATTTGATCTGACTTTAGCCAGTCTTTTTCTTCAGATCTCACCAGACTGTAGTTGGTTCACCGGCGGTGCAAGTCCATTCTACATCGAATGAAGCACACCCATTTCGACCCCAGGGCACCTGGAATTGTGTCTTCATCACGTATGCACTTCAGTCAACCCCCAAGTACTAACCACTAGCTGGGATAAAATGGCAAAGGTGGTGTAAGTCTTAACCCTAGCTTGTGGTCAACCCTAACCCTAGCTTGTGGTCAGCCCTAACCCTAACTTTGTAGTGACTTTATGGTCAACCCTAACCCTAACTTGATGGAAGTCTAACTTTGGTAAACTTTGTAGTCAACCTTAACCCCAGCTTGTAGTGAACACTAACCCCACTTTGTAGTGAACCTTAACCCTAACTTGGTAGTCTAATCTAATTGTTGTAGTCTTTTCTATTCTATCAGTAGACTTTGTATTCAACCTTAGCTAACCCTAGCTTGTATTCAACTCTAACCCTAGCTAACCCTAACCCTAGCTTATACTCAACTCTAACTATAACTTTGTAGTCTGTCAGTGTCAGTTTCCCTTTAGGGCATACACCTTCCTTTTTTGGTCATTTTCCCCACAATACAATAATTGTAGCCCTTTCTTTTAGCTTTCTAAATGTGTTGAAATTATCTTGTTTGGTTTTGTATTCATAGAGAAAAATGCAAAAAAAACAAAAAAAAACACAGCACTCAGAACAATCTTTTACATAATATCTCCACAACAGGAGTACTTTAGAATATAATTTGACCAGATTCAGTAAGCTACAGTGTAGAGCTACAACTTTTAATTGGTCATGTGACCAATATCCCAACATTCCATTGGATCGACCCTGATGGGTAGAAACATCTTTATCTTGTTTTTCTTCCATTTTCATCAAACTAGCTGAGATTTTCTTTTGTGAAGTGTACTCTGAAAGCAGTTCCTAGCATTTTCTCAAACTCCAAGCTCATCATTGGAAGCAGCAAGTCCCTTATAGCTCCTCTAGATACTGTAGGCCAAAGCTGCCTAGTCTGGCAGTTGCTAGCTGTGATGCTAGGCAACTACCCATAACTACTGGCTTAAACATGTTATATCAGTGCTTGAATATATCTGCAGAGGCTGGAAAAGGTGAAAAAATAGCTCACAGTTTTTTATAGAGTAAGGACCCCAGACACTCCTGTGACTCTGGAGGAAATATATATATATGTGAGATAAAAAAGATCTTTTCAGAACAAGAGAAAAGATCTTTTTGTGTGACAGTGGATAAAAAATAATACATGACAATGAAAAGATCTTTTTGCAGTCAGGGAAAAGATCTTTTAGTGTGACAGTGGACAAAAATATATATGTGACAGGAAAAAGAGCTTTTTGTATGCAGGGAAAGGATCTTTTGGTGTGACAGTGGACAAAAATTAATACGTGACAGGATCATTCTGGAAGGATCTTTTGGTATTCAGGGTCCCAAAAGATCCATCCACCATCTTACTCTTAGCTGGGATCATTTGCCATTTTATCCCAGCTAGTGGTTAGTACTTGGGGGTTGACTGAAGTGACATACAGTTGAGTGCAAAAAGAATGAAGGTTGGTTCATTTTTCTGGTTCTTTCTAAGAATCTATTGTACCTCAAATGTATTTGTGTATCCTTTTACATTATGTAGTTGTGTTACACCTCCTTTGGTATGGACTAATTTCAGTGAAAGCTGGAGCCTTGAGAAGGTTTTTATTCTGGAGGCCATTTTTGGCATCTGAAAAAAAAAATAT